ATATATATATATATATATATATATATATATATATATATATATATATATATATATATATATAAGTAATTTGTAAATAAATTTTTCGATATACACATATGCATGACATGCATAGTTTTCAAGAAACGTCTTCAATTATTTTTTTGCACATGTGTATATGAACGGTTATCAAGGTGTTCATTAATTTTTTTATTTTTTAATTATAAAATAGGTAAATTCGTTATTTCTTAGTTATTAAAAATAAAATTATAATATTAAATTAAATTAAATCAATAAATGTAGCAATTACTTATTTTTAGAACCATATATTTTGTCCTGAGTTTTGACTTGGTGCATAGGGCCACTTTCAAAGACTTGTACGTAGATCCTTGAAGGTGTGCGGAATTCCATCTAACACGTACCGAATATTCTTTTGTTTTAATTGAACAAACGAACGAACATGAACAGTAAATGAACGAAAATATTTGTGTTCGTGTTTGTTCGTTTAGCATGCTAACAAACGAACGGGCTAAGTGAATAAAACGAACATAAATGATGAAGAGGTAGAAATTTCAAATTAGACAAAATGATGATACAATTTAAATCTAAATAAATTCTGAAAAGTTAAACTTAAATAAATATTTTATTTAAATTCAAACTAAATAAATAAAAGATTATATATTAAATTTAATATATATAAACGAACATAAAGAAACGAATATAAACGAGCGTAAATGAACGAACGTTCACGAACATAAATGAACGAACGGGACTCTTGTTCATGTTCATTCGTTTAATAACGAACAAAATATTTTGTTCATGTTCGTTCATTTATTAAATAAACGAACTTCCTGCTGAACGGTTTGCTGAACGTTCGGTTCGTTTACAGCCCTACTTATAAATCTCAGAAAGATGCGTGAAAATTTGATCTTTTCTTGTTTGAATTCAAGCACTCGAAAGCCTATGTAGCCATGGGGGTTCACCTACAATGGTTTCGTCTCATTTGTGGTCGTTCAGAGTTATGCACGTAAGCTAACCCGAGAACCCACGGTTACTCAAAAAGAATAAGTGTCTATTTTTCAATTATATCATTAAATATGAAATAAACAAATTATCGTATTTTCAGTTGTTAAAAGTAAATTTGTCATTTAATTAACTAAAAACTGTAATAAATTACAAATTTCTAAACCGTGTGTCTTTAGTATTCCTTTTGTTTTTGAGTTTCAACTTCGCATTTTTATTTTGGTTTGTCTAAAACCAAAGTCTGCTTTTAAAAATAACTGTCTTTTGGTTAATCAAAAATTGTGATAATTATACATTTTATAAAACGGTGTGCCTTTTTCATCACGGATGTTTAGTTTGGAAGGGAGAAAGTAATATATAATCAGCGAATTATCGTAAACAAACGAAAAATGGACCATGCTCGAGAATTCTGTTTAAATCAGTATTTTTTACAGCGATGTCCTCTCACTGATTTGTCCTTAGTAGTACTTTGGCACTGGACATTCCCCAAACGGGTATTGTCGGGTCGGGTGAATTCAATAATAGTGGAGGCATGGTCCATATGTGTATGCTTCCGCGTTTGAGCCCGGACACTACCCTTTCACCAATGGAACAATTAATGATTCTGGGACCTATGAGAAAGAGGCACTTCATATGGTGACAAAACACTGCTTTTTACTCTTTCAAGCAGTAAAAACAACTGATATAACAATTGATTACAACGGATTTAAAACCTAAATGAAGTCATTAAGACTTTACTCGACCATTAAGACGTCTCCTGTACACAAAACTTTGAAGATCGGACTTTCCTATAGTGGGTACAGATTAAATTAAATAAAAAGCAAAGTCCTTTTAAGTTGCTAGAAAGAAATAATTTATTATTAGAGTAAATTACAAATTTCGTCCTTGTGGTTTGAGGTTGATTACGAACAAGGTCCCTGAACCCTAAATACAGGGGTATGGTTCTTGTGGTTTCACCTTTGTTACAGATCAGGTCCCTTGTTCTAACTGCAGTTAAAAAACTTCTCAAAGTCGGGGGTTGTTATCCAAAAAACAATGATGAATTTGCATTTTCCCGTAATGAAAGGAAAAAGAGACCAAAATGCCACTAATTTAACATAAGTTAGTTCTAAGGACCAACTCCGTAACGAAAATGAAACCACGAGGACCCGTAATCAACCTCGAAACCGCATGGACGAAACTTGTAATTCGCTCCCATTATTCCCACAAAATATGAATCAAGTGGAGACACACTCATTGATGTTCAATTATTTTATACATATCCAAAATGTTGATTAAATGATTTTATTTTGTAATAGACCAAAAAGATCCGTATTCAAACAACAAAGGTGGCGTCTAATTGGTTTAAATTTAGGTTCCAAAGATCAAAAGTGTCTAGAGATCCCAAGTTCGAATCCAATGAGGAACAAAAAATCCACTAATGACCACGGAGGTTCAAATGCGGTGACTCCGAACTACCCGCAAAGAGAATGGTCTCTCTATGATTAATCAGCTCGCATAGGAGGTTAGATATCAAATATTATATTTGATTAAACAAAAAGTTAATATTATATTCCCATAATTAAATGGAATAAATATGTGGTGGAAAAAGAGTGAACTAATTGAATTATGCTCCACCATAACAACTTTTTATTTTTATTTTTATTTTAGAATTAAAATTTATGTGAAAATTAAGTCCAATAATTGAGAAGGGGTTTTTATCATCCACTTAACTGATTTTTGAAGATATTATTATTGATGGATTCAAGTGCAATTATTTGATCTTGACATAACAAAGGAGGGCAATTTTGGCATTTAGTAATGTTGGATAGTAAAAAAAAATTAAGTATATGATATTTATATACGGTAAATAGAACAAATAAACTGATACATTTTTCTCACATTTTATGAGATTTGAACTATTGACCTTTTAGGAGGCCAAAGACTCACATACTGTTAGGACAAAGGCCTATTGGTTGATAAAAGAATGTCGGACCATGTTGGTGGATCTGTTGTATTTGAACATAAATTCATTTTGTCTTCATCTGATCCATGATATATATATCTTGATAAATTTTTAGAATTATAAAATAACGGTCATGTATCTAAACCTATTGAATTTCGGCAAATTTTTGGGTTTCTGAAATAACAGTAAGATAAATCTTCAATGTTTCTGAAAAGATTTAAGCTGTTGATTATCATTAGATTTTACTAGTTAAATTATACTTAATGATGAACTACAAATAGCAGTTATTCGTAATACCCATTTTTTTTTTTTGTTTCACTAATTTGTGTAAGGGGATGTTTGGCAGTTACTGAATGGTTTGATGCAAAATAATTAAGTGGTTCTCATGATATAGTGCAAAATAAAATATAGTTGTTTGGTAATTGTTTATAACAAAACTAGGGCGTTGAATGGTTAAGGGATACCCAATATATAAAATCGTTCAGAGAGTTTTAGAACCATTAAGAGACATATTTTTTTTCCGCCAAACAAGATTCGTCTTTTAACGATTCAAATGTTGCCTCTTAATGAAACTTTTAAAATGTAAACAAACAACCCCTAACTTACAAATTAAGAGATACTATTTATGTTTGGTTGTTCAAGTAAAAGATGAGGCGTATGCATGCACGTTGCTATGGATAAGCTACTACTTTTCTAAAAGGCAAGGGTCATTTCGTCATTTTCCATTTTAATATTCTAACAAGATATAAAAAAACCCGAGGAATATTCTAATTGCATATGAATAATTGAAGATGTTTCTTGATTTTTATGTACATGTGCACATATGTATATAAATAATTGAAGACGATTCATGGTTTCTATGCATGTGTGCATGTTATACATATATACATACGGTACAGATGAACGGTTATTAGGGTGTCCATTTATACGTGAATCATTGGAGACATCCATTTAAAGATGCACATATAAACTTAGATGAATAATCTGTAACGTCGGTTCACATATGCATTTTCATAACAGCCTTTTTTATTTTATTTTTCAATGATTTACATATTTACGGTGAACTTTTTTGTCATACATTCTCACGATATTTAGTATTCTTACTTGAACCGACCTTTAGTATTCTTCCGCGAAATTCAAACTCCTCAAAAACATTATGTCAAACCAAACTGGCTGTAAATTAATCTTACACTAAATACAGTAGACACATGCATACATTACCTCTACCATGTGAAGTAAAAACGTTGTTTTCATGAAAACCACTACGTATAAAAGCGAATTAGCAGTCAACTCTCTGACACTTCCTAGCTTTGATACGCAGCTTACTATCGGAAGGATTTGATCCCTAGTTGTCGACTCCCAAACCCTCCTCCAACCCTCTCCCCTACTCTCTCAATAAGTCGTATCACACAATCATACTAAAAGTAGATCTTAAGGGGTGTTTGGGATTGCTTATTTGAAACAACGTATACTTTTCTACAAAAGTCTTTATCAACTTATTATAAGTTAGAATGGTTTAATTTTTTCAAAAATTTCTTATTACCGGTTTGGCACCGGTATAAGTTATTTATCCAAACATTTAAAAATGCTTATTACCGGATCCACACCGGAATAAGTCAATTAGTTGTTTTTATAAGCAATTCCAAACATTCTGGGAAGCCAAATTATGGTGATGGGTTGTACACGAATAAATTATGGAAACCGATTCTTAAAGGAAAGCAACAAGAATTACACCTAAATAAGATTTAAAAAAAAAACAAATGTTTCTAAGCCCAGAAAGTCTATGTTAGATGGCCCAAGGCCCATAAAATTGTGGTTATAAAATAACTAGAAAAGTACTCGTGCAATACAGCAAGACACATCTCGATTTTAATATTCTATTTTATTATGTGTCTCTGTCGATGTTATAATACGATTTTATGTGTTTTTAAGAAAGCAATAATGATATTATTTTTGAATAAAATATAAATTTGAAGATATAGCAATGTACTTTCATAAATTTCTTTATTATAGCATTGTACTTTCAGTTTTTCTTATTACAGCAATGTACTTTCAAACTATTTTTTATTAGGACATTGTACTTTGAAAATTTTACCCATGATAGCATTAGGTAGCCTTTTGATTTAAATTTACCCATTATACTAGGTTTCCATGCCACCTCATTGTCCACGTAGGCTGTCCACATGTACTATAATGATGTAACTTTCTTACTACATCATTGTACTTTCAAAATTATTTTACTATAGCATCTATTAATTATTATTAAACACTGTTTTTTTAATTTTAATATTAGATATTTTACATGTTATTTAATAAACGTATTAAATTTAAATGAATTAAAATTTTTCTAAATTATTTATTAATATACTAATATCAATAAAACTAATAGAACACAATTTATCTCGCTAACATTTTTAAAAAATATGTGTTTTCTGAAAAAAGAAAAATAAGAATTGTTCATGTTTTACAAAAAAATATTTACTTTTAAAGAATATATTATATTTGTTCAAAAAACTTTTTACTTGACGTATAAATATATTATATTAATTAGACTTTTTTGAATTATTTATTAATATAACAATATTAAAAAATTGTAGATAACAATTTATTTCGTTAATATTTTAAAGAGAACTTTAAAAGATATGTATTTATTTGAACAACATAAAATAAGAAAAGTTACTTTTTTTACAAACAAAATATATCTCGAAAATAATGTTTCATATTTATTTAATAAATATTTTACTCTAAGAATATTTAATTTGAATGCAACTTAATAAGAAAAAATAAAAAAAAAATAAATGTTTTTTTAGATCATAGCAATGAAAAATGAAAAATCATTAATAATAATTTGAAATAGGTTTTTTTTTTTAAATTTAGTTAAGTCATCAAAATGATGTGGCATCAACATCATCTCATTAAAGTCACACAAGAAAAAAAGTCAAAGAGTTAACCGGTTTAAAAGGTAACAGGTTACCCATTGCTATTATGGGTAGATTTTTTAAAGTACAATGYMTTAATAAAAAATAATTTGAAAGTGCATTGCTCTAATAAAGAAAAACAAAAGTAGAATGCTATAATAAGAAATTTTATGAAAGTAGGTTGCTATTTTATGCATTTAACCCAAATTTAAAAAATATATATATCAATGTTAATATCAAATAAACTATTTAAAAATTCTCATTTTTTGTATAATTTCTTTAATTTATTTTTTTATTATAATTTAATTTAAGTTTAATAATGAAATAATTTTTTTTTGTTTTAATAATATAACATTTTATAAAGATAATAATTAAGTATTCTGTTAGAACTCAATGATTATCCTTATTTTATTTTATATTTTTTATATTTAAAATGAGATGTCTATTCTATATTTGATTATGTTTATCTGCAGTTAGTTACACGATTTCAGGTATGGAGGTTTAATATGTTGTATTTACGCATAATCTACTTGTAATCTTGAGTTTTAAGTAATATGCATTAATAAACAGTACTTCATGCATAAAAAATAGTTTTTAAGAGTTTTTTGTAAAATGCTTTATAATATAGTATAGATATCGTATTCAAAAGCTATGCTATAATTTAAAAAAAAATAAAGTATTAAAAATTAAAATCTCTAAAAAAATATATTCAGCTCTAACAGCTACTCTATTTTAACAAGGGCAAATTGCATAAAAATGTAATGTACTTTAGTTTTATTCCTATTTTGGGTAACATACTTTCAAAACCTTTATTTTGATATCTAAGATGTGAAATCTCAAACTTTTAAGTACCTGGGTTACATATACTTCAGGTAACCGGTAAACTAAGAATGACATGTATTTTAAACAAATGATGTGGAATAAAAATTGACATGTAATCAAATGACATGGAAAATATTAAACACATTATTTTTTTTTAAACTAAATTTCCCAATACAGGGGTTTCAAATTTTCAATCGGCACCCTAAATCTCAATCGACGCCCTAAATCTCAATCGACGACTTCTTCAACTCTAACAATCGGCTTCCTCAATCTCAATCGACGAACTCTTCTTGCAAATCTTCCCTCAATCGTCGTCACCAATCTCCTACATCGATGTTATCTGGTCTTAGGTATGTAAAATCGTTGTATCTCTTCTTCATCAACTCCATTTTTTGTGGTTTTAGGGCTTTTCTAAAATTTCCCCTTTTGTGTTTTTAGGGTTTGAATCTGCTATATCACATTACAATGAGTATCAGGTTAGTTCTAAACTCAAATAAAGCATCGATTATAGTCAGTTTCCATGGATTATGATTGACTGATTTGCCGTATAGATATAGCAAGAATCCTATATAAGCTTCTATCTTGTACAATCTCAATCCAATAAAAATCTATTTGTTCTGTTGTGTGCTACGGTGCCACCGCTCCATTTAGTTGCTGGGTCCAATAAAAATCCATTTTTCCCATGCATACAATTACCCTTGTGTTGGCAACCACCAAAGTTATTATTGGAATTTTGTCATGGGGTTTGATCCCAAATAGATGGGAAAGTGAAATCCAAGCACTTAAGCAGCTTTATATATGCAAAAGCGTTTATATAATTTAAATTTAAACATGATTTGGGAGAACTTGAAATCGAAAAGATTTATATATAAATCTTRACTYATCAGTATCACTTTGCAAGAAAATGTTGTATATTTTAAACACAATCGTGAATGCATTTTGTAAAGGTTTCTGTTCTCAAAAATTGTTAATCAATGATTGTGTTATGTCTACCTGATCAGTAGCCGATGACTTTCAGCTGATGGATTTTAAAGGATGAATTTCAGCTGATGGGTATCCACTGGCATCTCGGTTACTGGTTTAATTGCATTGTTCTTATATTAATATGGGTAATCAACAAGTCCTATCACATGTCAATCATGACCATCAAGAAAAACAAACACACAAGTTCATGGTGGTAATCAGGGCTGTCGCCCAAGCCAACATAGGCCCAACCCTTAAACTTGTTATACTAGGGTCATTTTTCATATTTTTCAAAGAAAGTTTACCTAATACACTCTTGATCTGTCTCTCAAGTCTCGACCATACGCTCAAATCGACGCTCTTGAATCCACTCGAGTATCTGCTCTCCTCTCAGCCTCTGGCTCTCGGCCTCTTACGGTTTCACCTTGCTCTTCTCTACGGTTCTACCCCTCAACCTTTCGGCCTCTCATAATATGCCTTAATTCCTTTCTTTGGCCAAGTATTTTTTTTTCTAATGAATTAATTACAGATTAGGCTAATAACGTTAGTAGATTACTTATTAGAATATTAGGTTATTTGCCTATTTGAGTATTTGACTATTGGGTTATTTGAGTATTTGATTACTTGATTATCTGCCAATTTGAGCACATGGAACCACAAAAAGAAAACCTGTTGAAGCA